CCATGGCCCGTGGCCTCCTGGCCGGGCTCCAGCCGAGTGACAGCTCAAGGATCCAGCCTGGCTGTGGCACAGGGACATGGGGTTATCCCTTCGCAGGGAATAAACCCCAGTGTGTGAACTGCTGCAGAGCCATAGGGGCATTCCGGTTCCACTCCGTGGGGAGAAGAGGCTCTGGATAGGGATGGAGCATCACCCCCCAGAGAGGACCATCAGCATCTTCACCCCATAGCAACCAGCTACGGAACCTCAGGGACGTGGATGGTCCCCTTCCAACCTTCCCAACCCACCTGCATCTTCACCCTGCACCAACCAGCTATGGAACCTCAGGGACATGGATGGTCCCCTTCCAACCTTCCCAACCCACCTGCATCTTCACCCTGCACCAACCAGCTATGGAACCTCAGGGACATGGATGGTCCCCTTCCAACCTTCCCAACCCACCTGCATCTTCACCCTGCACCAAGCAGATACAGAACCTCAGGGACATGGATGGTCCCCTTCCAACCTTCCCAACCCACCTGCATCTTCACCCCATAGCAACCAGCTATGGAACCTCAGGGACATGGATGGTCCCTTTCCAACCTTCCCAACCCACCTGCATCTTCACCCTGTACCAACCAGCTATGGAACCCCAGGGACGTGGATGGTCCCTTTCCAACCTTCCCAACCCACCTGCATCTTCACCCCATAGCAACCAGCTATGGAACCTCAGGGATGTGGATGGTCCCCTTCCAACCTTCCCAACCCACCTGCCTCCGGGCAAGGGGTGCGCAGCCAACACAGCTCAAGGACTGAAGGAAGGGGGGTGGATAAAAGCCCTCCATCAGTCTTCTCCTTTCAAATGCTCATTATAAATAGCTCCTCGGTGTGTTCTGAGTCACCCAGCTGAAACGTGCAAGCTAATAACCAACTGGGAAGTGATTCCAAGCCAGGGAATGGGAGGATTCTGGCAAAGTCATCACTCCTGTGCCAGAGCTGCACCGGCAGTTGCTGGTTGTGTTTTCCCTCCTTAGGTATCACAAACCTCCACTGCGTCTGGTGAGCAGAGGGCCTTGGGGATGCTGGGACACGTGGTGAGTCCATCCGCATGAGGACAAGCCCCGAACTCCCTTTATTCCCAGCCAAAAGAACCAGGGTTTAATATTTCCCATGGGAAACGCGCCCATCCGAAACCATCTTTCTTCTTCTGTTTGATTTCTGATAGGAAGGACAAACGAAGAGAGACCAGAAGGTCTGCACCCACCCACAGCATTCCCGCATGCTCTCAAGCCATCCTTCTGCACCTCTTCCTCCCCACATCGGCTTTGGATTTGGGAATGGGAGCGGGAGCAAGGGCTGCTAACGATGCCAAGCAACCCACCCCTGGGCCGTTCCAGAGCCGAATCCCACAGCCTGCTGTGCTAACCCATCCCTTGAGGGGTGACAAGGCTTGGGGCCACTTTCCCCACCATGGACCAGCAATAGCTTCCTGAGACCCCCAATCCACACTCCAACCCCCCCCACCCCCCAGACAGCAAACCTTGGGGTCACCCATCACCCATTGCATGAAAGCACCCCCCACCCTTGACACTGGGATGGGGGCAGCTGCCAGGGTACCACTGCCTGCGCTCTGCCTGCTCTCCATCACCTAAACCCCCTTTACTGGGTGTGATGGAGCCGCAGCAGCAGCCACAGCATCTCCCAGCGCTCTGCATCCCCCTCGCTCCCCCCTGCCTCCATTCAGACCCATCCATTAAGGACAGCTCAGCCCTTTGAAGGAGAAAGCTGGACAAGCAGAAGGTCCCAAGGCCCTGCCTGCACTTCTGGCTGCAGCCCAGCGCCAGCCACGTGGGAGCTGGGAAAGAGACAAAGCAAAAGCAGGGACCGAGGTCGGAGGAGAGCGCTGCTGCAGCCAGGGAATCCTGCATCCCGCATGGAGGAGCGGCCGCAGCGCTGCCTGCTCCGCGTGGGTGCTCGTCCTCCTGCAGCTCATGACACTGAAAGCACTTGCTGCTCTGAAATTGGGGGGGGGGGGGGTGGAGGGTGAGCTCCTGGATGGGTCCTCCCCACCCAAGGGACCGCTCCAGGTTTGGAGACGTGCAGGGTGCCAGGAGCTCCCCCTGCATCCTCTCTGAGCTCCAGGGTGAGGGGATGCAGAAGTGCCCCACACACACAGCTCCCAGTGGATGGACCAGCACCAGCCTGGGCAAAAGGTGCAGGGTGGGACTGCGCTCGGCCTTGCTGATGCTTGTAGACCTCCAAAAGGTGCCTGGACTGCTCCACCACTTGGATGCTCTCCTGCATCCCAGCCGGTGCTGCGCCATGGGTACCAGAGCAAGCCATGGGATGGTTTGGGTTGGATAGGACTTTTTAAGGTCCAGGACCTGAAGGAAGCAGCAACCAGGTGGGTACATCAGGGGGGTAAAATGGGGATGGTTCATTACACATGGCCCCTGCGTGAGCCTTGATGGGGACACACTGTCCAAGTCCTGGTATCAACCTGGGGACACAGCATCTGGGATAACTGGCACTCAGACCAACACACGTCCTTTACAGAGGGGATAAAGATGCCTCCTTATCCCATGGCAGGACACTGGTCTCTTCCCGCTCCTGGACACTCATCCGGGCAGGATGGAGCCCTCATCCCAGCTGCGGCCAAGCCACGGTCCCTCCTCCATCACGTGCCTGGCACCGATGCTGTCACCAAACCAGCGCCAAGCCCGGCAGCCCTTGCCCAGTTCACACATCCCCACGCCTGCTCCCACCAGTGGGAAGAGCCGGATGAGGCCTCTTCCCGAAGGAAGCCTTGACCCGTGCCCAGGCTCCGCCGCGCCTGCGGGGCTGCTCAGAACATCCTCTCCTCCTGCGTGCTCTCAATGCGCAGAGCTCAGCTGCGGCTCCCCCAGCCCCTGGCTGCTGTCAGATGCTGTGAGCGCAGCAGCTCCGGGCACCCCAGCATCCCACCCACCCGTAACCGGGTCAGGAGCCGCTGCCGGGGGGGAAAGGAGGAAGAAACGGCTTTAAACGTGACCTGGATAATGCAGGATGGCGCTTGAGTGGCTGCCAGCAACGCTGCCCTGCGAGGAAAGCTCATCCACCGCGCACGTGGGTAGACCTGGCCCACCGCTGCATCCCGGCCCCATGCAGCATTCCCAGCGTGCTGCGAGGGCGGGAGCAGCTTCGCTGGGATCTGCTGGCAGCAGGCAGGCAGAGCCAGCGGGAAACAACACAGGCAGGGAGCAGGCAGCATCACCCCGGCCTCACGGGGACACCCATGTGCAAAGGGCATCGCCGGAAAGCGCTTAGGAAGCTTTTCCACCCCTATATATCCCCCAGGATGTGCGGGAACAGGGATAAGCATCTAGGAAAGACACGGGGTTGTATCCTGGGTGAAGGGGAAAGCATCTCATCTCACCACCCCTGCCCTGGGCGGCTCGAGAGGTGCAGCAATCCAGCTACACTCAAGTAGCATCCACCATTCTTAAAGCCATTAAACAGGAGCTGCAAGTCAGCAGAGGCATTCCAGCCGGAGGGAACATGAGGATGGCAATGGCATTTCAAGACCTTTGTGTGCTGTGCTTAAAGAAAAGGACACGGGCACATGTGGTGGCAGCAGCATGAAAGGATCTCTGCAGGGAACAAAGCGCACACAGCACCGGCGAGAGCAGGGGGGAAGGATGCTGCCCGCAGAGGCTGGATCCAGCACCCACAGCAGGGGGGGATCAGCAGCTCCTGGTGGCCTCTGGAAGGTGGATCTGAGCCCCACGCCACCACAGGCAGGAGATGCTGGAGGCTATTCTAGAGCCAGGCAGACTTGGCATCCAAAGGTCACCTCGTGAAGGTGCGAAAAGCTGGGGATGCCGGAGGGAAATAGGTGGGGATGAGGCAGGAGCGGGCGGCAGCTTCCCTTGTGCCCTGATGGCCCTGGAATCACATCAAGCACCCGCTCCAGGAGCCCTGAGGATGCTCCCAGGCACATCCCCATAAGGGATGCAGTGCTGGGAGCGGCGGTCCCGGCTGCCGAGCCAGTGCTTGAGCATGTGGAGCTGAGATGCACCCGTCAGACAAAGGAATCCAAGCACCCAGCAGCTTCCCTCCTCATCCCCTTACACCCTCATCCCATTCCCACCGGATCAGCCCATCCCTTTGGCAATGAGGGGTCTGATCCCAGCAACCGCTGGGGTGGGAAACAAGGGGTAGGGAGCACCCGATATCTCTGGATACCCGGGAAGCAGAGCACCCACGTACTGCAAACCGCCTGCGCACAGCAGTGGAGCCTCGTGAGTGCTCCATACACACAGAGACACAGAGCCGGGGATCTCGGCCATCCCGAGCCACGGTGATGGGAATCGAGGCATCGCACGCTTCCCGTTAGCCAGCTCTGCCCCTCTCCCCACGTGGGCTCTCCAGAGCATCACCCTGCATGGCTGGAAGCGAGCACTGTCATCCCTCAGCAAGGTCACCCCCTGCGAGCCCCTCATTCCTGCGCTGTGGAATGAGATCCCCCCTGATCCCCCCGTCCCACCCCACCGCATGGGATCAGCAGCACCGGGACCCCCAGACCTGTTGCGTGGGGTGGGTGTGCAGGGGGGTGGCTCCTCCTGCCATGCGTGGAGCCACCGAAGCCACGATGCCGAGGCCTGACCAGCATTTCACTAAGTCACCCACATCCCCCCCAGCTCCCTGCCAGGCCAGGAGCCTGCTGCTCCCATGGGAAACCACCGCGGGGTTACAGGGAACATATAAGGGTGGGTCAGCAGGGAAAAGGGGAGATGCTGCTGACAGCGGCGCTCCCGCACAGCATCACCCATCAGTGATGCCCTGCCCTGGGCTCACACAGTGAGGAACTGAGGGGGGGTCGCAGCCTGTAATCCCCCTGCACCCCAGGCGGGAGGAGGAACTTTTCCCCTCTCCGCGATGTCTCCCTCTCGCCTTCGCGCAGCCTCTCCCCCCGCCCCGGAGCATCGCTCCCTCCCGGCGTGGTCCCCCCCAGTCCCCGGTGCCGGCGGGAGGGGACTCACAGGTCAGACGCAGCCGCCTGGTACGGCTGGCTCCGGCAGAGGATGGAGTGTCCGCAGCCCTGCCCCATGGCTCCGCATGCTTCGGCGGCCGGCGGGGGCTCGGAGAGGGGCTGCGGGCAACGCGGAGCCGCCGCTGCGCCCGGTTCTCGGTGCTGACGGGGAGCGGAGCCCGCTGCTGTCAACCGAGCCCGATGCAGCGCGCCGAGGCGTGCGGGAGGGGAGGGCGGAGAGGCGCGGGGGGGAGGCCGGGGGAAGAAACGCCGCTGATTGACGGCGCCGCTGCGGCTCCGCGGGGCTGGGCGGGGGCCGGAGCCGTTCCCGCGGAGGGGCCGAAGGGGTCCGCACCTGCCTCTGGCTGCCGCCCGCCCTGGGCCGCGCCCGGCCTCGCCCGCAGCGCCGCCCCGCTCCGGGGGGACGCCGCCTTTGTCTAGTAAGGAGCACGCTGGCCCTGCCCGCCCCGCGCTCCCCGCGGCGGCAGCGGGTCCTGCGGGGCACCGCAAGCGCCCGTCTGCCCGGCTTCTGCCCCGGGGGACATCGGGCAGCACAGAGCAGTGCTGGGCAGCACAGGGAGATGCTGAGCAGTACAGGGCAATGCTGGGCAGCACAGAGCGGTGCTGGGCAGTACAGAGGGATGCTGAGCAGCACAGCGCAATGCTGGGCAGCACAGAGCAATGCTGAGCAGCACAGAACGATGCTGGGCAGCACAGAGCGATGCTGGGCAGCACAGAGCGGTGCTGGGGAGTACAGGGCGATGCTGAGCAGCACAGGGCAATGCTGGGCAGCACAGAGAGATGCTGGGCAGCACAGGGCGATGCTGGGCAGCACAGAGAGATGCTGGGCAGCACAGAGAGATGCTGGGGAGTACAGGGCAATGCTGGGCAGTACAGAGCAGTGCTGGGCAGCACAGGGCAATGCTGGGCAGCACAGAGCAGTGCTGGGCAGCACAGAGAGATGCTGGGCAGCACAGAGAGATGCTGGGCAGCACAGAGAGATGCTGGGCAGTACAGGGCAATGCTGGGCAGCACAGAGCGGTGCTGGGCAGCACAGAGCGATGCTGGGCAGCACAGGACAATGCTGGGCAGCACAGAGAGATGCTGGGCAGTACAGAGAGATGCTGGGCAGCACAGGGCAATGCTGGGCAGCACAGAGCAGTGCTGGGCAGCACAGAGCGGTGCTGGGCAGTACAGAGAGATGCTGGGCAGCACAGAACGATGCTGGGCAGCACAGAGCAGTGCTGGGCAGTACAGGGCAATGCTGGGCAGCACAGAGAGATTCTGGGCATCACAGAGCGGTGCTGGGCAGCACAGAGAGATGCTGGGCAGCACAGAACGATGCTGGGCAGTACAGAGCGACTCTGGACAATACAGGGCAATGCTGGGCAGCACAGAGAGATGCTGAACAGCACAGGGCAATGCTGGGCAGTGCAGAGTGATGCTGGGCAGCACAGAGAGATGCTGGGCAGCACAGAGTGACGCTGGGCAGTACAGGGCAATGCTGGGCAGCACAGAGTGATGCTGGGCAGCTCAAGCAATGCTGGGCAGCACAGAATGATGCTGGGCAGCACTGGTTTTGCAGGCAAGTCCCTGCCCCAGGGCAGCACCAGACCCACAAGCCTTGCCTTGCACATGGGCACCAGGCAGCATCAAGCAGTATGGAGCAGTCGTGGCCCTCAGGCAGGTCCCTGCCCCAGGGGAACTGGGCAGCAGTAGGTAGCACCCGACCTGTGGGCAGGTTCCTTTCCCAAGGGTGCTGGGTGGCATCGAGCAGTATTAGAAAGTCATGGAATCAGCCGGGTTGGGAAAGAGCTTCAGGACCATCCAGTGCAACCATTGCCCCACGGCCACCACTGCCCCATGGCACTGAGGCCTCCTCTCCATGGGGTGTGAACCCTCGCAGGGCCGGTGCCTGCAGCCCTGCCCTGGGCAGCCTGTTCCAATGCCTGAGCACCCTCTGGGGCAGGAATTGTTCCTCAGCTCCATCTAAACCTGCCCTGGGGCAGCTTGAGGCCGGTTCCTCTTGTCCCATCCCTTGTTCCCTGGGAGCAGACAAGCAATAGACAGCAATGCCCGGCAGGCAGGTCCCCACCAGGGCAGCAGGTCCCACCCCAGGCAGGAGGAGCCGGAGCCTCCCATGCGCCTGCAGCATCGCTCCATGCCTGTGCCCCCGCTGCCACCTCCCGAATGAGCGCAGCTTCCCCCCGGGAGCCCCACTGAGCACGGAGCCCTCTGCACGCGTGCAGCACCGGCACCGGGCACCGATGGGTTGGAGGAGCAGATGTGGTGTCCATGGGTTTATCCCCCACAAGCACACTGGGATCTCCTGCCCTGGGCCCCCTGGAACAAGCACCCTGTGCTGTGAGCACTGCCAGGGATGGGGCAGCCACAGCTTCTCTGGGCACCCTGTGCCAGCGCCTCAGCACCCTCCCAGGGAAGAGCTTCTGCCTAAGAGCTCAGCTCAGTCTCCCCTTGGGCAGGTTAAAGCCATTCCCCTTGGCCTGTCCCTACAGGCCCTTGTCCCAAGCCCCTCTCCAGCTTTCCTGCAGCCCCTTCAGGCACTGGAGCTGCTCTCAGGTCTCCCCTTCACGCCTTAGTAAAGGGGGAGAATCCCTTCCCTGAGCTGCTGCTCACACTCTGGGGGTGCAGCCCAGGACGTGGCTGGTTTCTGGGCTGCAGGCACACATCGAAGCCATTGAACATCACGAGGTTCTATGGTCCCTCCTCTCCAGCCACCCCGCTGTTGCTCCCCCATCCCATGTGAAGCCAGGAGCATCCCTCTGGTCCTCAGCTCAGCAGCATCTCTCTGTGGGTGTCTGCATCCTCCACACACTCGCTGTCTGCTCCGCGCTGCACCAACCCACACCCCCAGGCTGGGAGCTCGGCTTCATGGCAGGAGGTGGTTGCACCAAAAGCAGCTGGTTTGGTTGCTCCCCAGGAGCCTTGCAGCGATCCAGCCCTCCGGGGTCACTGCTTCCATGGGGAGAGGGGCTGGATGCGCTTTGTAACCACTGGGGGTACGCTGCTGCTGCCCTGCTCCGTGCTGAGCCCACGTGAAGAGCAGCGATAGTTATTAAGAGATTTGCACTCAAATCACACCAGTCCCTGTCAGATTCACATGGATTAATATCCCCATGGTCTCCAGAAATAGGCCAAGTAACGCATCCATTACTGAGAGCCCCTGCCTGCCTTGGCCAGGGGAGGAAAGCGAGGGCCAGATCCAGGATGCCTTGCCCAGATTTCACCCCAGGAGCTGATGGCAGAGCCAGGGCTCATCTGGGGTTATTTTAAGGGCCATCACTTTGACCATGGAATCCTGGAATGGGTTGGGATGAAGGGACCTTAAAGCTCCTCCAGCTCCAACCCCTGCCACGGGCAGGGACCCCTTCCATAGAGCAGCTTGCTCCAAGCCCCTGTGTCCAACCTGGCCTTGAACACTGCCAGGGATGGGGCAGCCACAGCTCCTCTGGGTGCCACGATCCTCCTGACATCAGTGCAATGTCCCCACTCTGGGTGGGACCCTGGGTGCTTATGAAGCCAGGCACCAGCGCAGCTTCTTGGGTGCTTCCAAGCAGGGATTTGTGTGGAAAACACCCAAATTATTCATGGAATTTCCCATTTTCCCGATTTTTGCATTATTCATGGAATGCATCCAAACATTATGGAAACTCTGGGATGGCTCCACCGGGTTCTTCCAGTTCCTCAGCACCGAGACCCCTGGGGCTGCACACACTGAAAGGAGGAACCGCGTCTCCAAGGACAGAGCCTGCGCTGCTGTTGGCAGAAGCTGCTTGGATACGGGGCTGAGCTCTCTCCTGAGGAGGAAACAGCACAGAGCAATGTGGGGAGGAGAAAACCACCTCTGTGAGCACCAGGAGCAACGTTAGATAAGGGAGAGCGCCGGGAACCACATGGAAGGGTTCACGGGAGGATGCTGGGATGTGGTGGTCCCTGCCTGCATCTGGGGATGGACCTGGTGGGCCTCGCACCCCGATGGGCTCTGACCTTCTCCGCTGGGATTGGGAATGTGGGAATGGCTTTAACCTGCCCCAGGGGAGGCTGAGCTGAGCTCTGAGGCAGAAGCTCTTCCCTGTGAGGGTGCTGAGGCGCTGGCACAGGGTGCCCAGAGAAGCTGTGGCTGCCCCATCCCTGGCAGTGCTCAAGGCCAGCTTGGACACAGGGGCTTGGAGCAAGCTCAGGCCCCCACGGACCTGGAACTGATCCTGGCTGCTGGAAATCCATGGGGTTGGCATCCCCATGGCATACAGGGACATTAGAGCGGGGCTGTGGTGCAGGCGCGAGGCCTTGGTGATGGCCAGCAAGACCCACCAAGAAACCTTCTCCAGGAGCATCCAAAGGGCAAACCTTACCCCAGCGTCCTGCAGCTTAAGGCTCTTCCCAGCCCTATGGAAGGAGAAGGTCCTGGGAGGATCCAGCACAGCAAATCCCTTTTGTTCCTCCCCACATTCCGTGCTGGCTGCAGCCAACACGATTCCAGCGCAGCTCATGGCAGCTCCGCTCTGGCTCCTGACGCTGCTCCATGTCTTTATCTCCTGTCAGCAAGATGAAGCGCTGCCGCCTTCCAAAGGCATCATTCCAGGTCCGTGCCCTCGTGTGGGTGTTTGTGGTGTGAATGTGAAACGAGCCTCGAGCTCAGCTCCTGCAGCGCCTCCTCGGCTGCGGGATGCAGGTCTTTGAGCTCTCGATAACCACTGATCATCCCTGGGTGCTCGCTGTGCGGGTACCGGCAGCATCCCGCTCATGGGGATGGCTTTGGTGGCACAAAGCAGCTTCCACACAAGATGCTCTCCCTACAGCATCACTGCACCCTGTCCCCAGAGCTCGGAGCTCCAGGGAGCAACGGGCTCCTCTCTCTTCCTACAGGGATGCCTCAGCGGAGCAGCCCGGGATGCTCCCAGGGACCACACGCTGCTCCCCTGCTTCCAGGCCGTCAGAGGAGCATAGGATGGGTTGGGATGAAGGGAGCTCAAAGCTCCCCCAGTTCCAACCCCCTGCCATGTGCAGGGACACCTTCCACTGGAGCAGCTTGCTCCAATCCCATCAGGATATGGATATATCCCTAGATATCCCCACTATTCCCACCAATGGAACCACTGGTCCTGTCGTGCCTGTACAAATGCCCCCCAGAAAGTTCCAATTCCAGGAAGCTGGGCGTTGTTTCCCCCTCTCTCTGCTTGTGCCACGCTCACAACCCCAAAGAGCTTTTCTGAGGAGGAAGAAAAGAGCAGAATGGAGAAAAGCTTTTCCATTTTCCTTGACATTTATCCCGGGACCAGAAAAAGAACAGAAAACAACCCCCGGAGGAGCCCGGAGCCTTGGGTTTTATCGCAAGGTC